CATGAGGCTTGCTGCAATACATTCCTGTGAAAGGGGGAGGGCTATCTATACAGCATGAACTAAACCAGAAGAAAGGGAGGAGCAGAAACAAAATACAAAGAACACCTTAAAAGGCATATGACAGTCATATGAAACATGACAATTCGGATGACGTGATGCAACAGTTTGGGCTTTTTGTTAATGTTCAAAGCATCCGAAATAACATAACATAACAAATGAAACCAATTGATTTTGACCCATTTTGTTTTTTATTTTTCATTAACATGGAATCAAATTGGAAGGATTAGTCCAACCCACCTACATAAATGGAATGAGTTGATTGGAGAGGTTTCCAAATCTCCGAATCACAATGGTATGAATTTCAACTAATCCGAAATAAACGATAACAAAACAACAAATTTCTTCATATTAATTTGTTTCATTTGGATGATGGGCTTTTTGTTAATGTTTGAGGCATCCGAAATAACATAACGACATAACAAATGAAACAAACTGATTTGGATCCATTTTGTCTTTTATTTTTTATTAACATGGATTTGAATTGGAAGGATTAGATATTTTTGGATGGTAGTCCAACCCACCAAAAGAAATGGAATGAGCCGATTGGACAATATCAACTTAAAATTTGGATCAATTTATTTTCCGATTTATCAAACAAATTTGAAATTGAATTAATTTCTCCATAGGCCTGAACTACTATGGGATCATTTGACGTCATCAGAATGAAACAAATGCATTTTCTTTTATTTTGTTGTAACTTTTTTCGGATTCCTTGACATGTTACTATGTCCATTTGGATATTTGTATACATCTGAACCTCTGAAAATGAAATTTTTGTCCGAAGAACTAATCAGAACGAAACGCACATGTGTACAAATCGCTCTAACATAACGAATATGACTAAACAAAATGATTAACGTGGTTGTGACCCCCCTGGTTCACATCTCCGCAGCCGTGCGGTTCGTGTTTTGCACGGGCACGAGAGCCCATTCATTTGAATGGACTCCCGTGCCTGGGAAACGCAGGGAAAGAAGTCCTGCACTTCTTCCGAAAACGCAGCCGGGGTTCCCAGTACGGTTGCGTTTCCCAGTGCGGGTGGCATGCCGTTAGAACTAATGGCACCCGTCCGTGGATCCACAATTTCTGTGCGGGTGGTGCGGCTGCACAGATTTTCATGTGGATCCGGAGCGGCACCACCCGCATAGATGTGAACCGGAGGTAAAGTTTATTTGCATTCTATGCAAGAAGGTAGAAAAACCTTCTGTGTGCAGCAGCCCCCTCAAATACCTAATACCCATCACCGATCCAGCTATGTGCACAAGAGCCTTGGCTCTCCAGAGACTCCCCCTCCTCATTGGCTGAGACAGCAGCAGAAGTAATCACAGCTAGTGAGCCAATGAGGGAATAGAGGGGGCAGGGCTGAGCCACAGCTCAATGTGTGTCGGGTTGGAGCCACGGCTCTATGGGAGCCCCATAGCAAGCTGCTTGCTCTGGGGGCACTTGGCAGGAGGGAGGGGCCAGGAGCAACAACAGGAGATGCAAGAAAAGGAGGATCAGGGCTGCCCTGTGCAAAACCACTGCACAAAGTAGGTAAGTATAGACAGGTTTGTTATTTTTTTTAAATTGCCTTTAATATCACTTTTAATTTGAAGAACAAATTTGAAACAAAACAAAAATAACTTTTCCATCGTGCACCTCTCCATCCTTGGCATACCCCATTGTCCTAGTAGGTGTGCACGGATATCACCACCCGGCTTCCAGAAATAAACTGTTCAAATTCTTGTAGATGCTGGAAAATTACAATTTTGGAGGACAATTGGCAAGTGGGTGAAAAAAGTGTAAGGTTCTTGGGTGCGGGAAGTATGTTGTGAGTTTAGACCAAGCTAAAGCCTTTATCAAAGTTACCCACAGATAGCAATGGTCAACCCTGTCGAAGGCTTTAGCTTGGTCTAAACCAGGGGTGGGCAAACTTTTTGACTTGAGGGCCGCAATGGGTTCATATATTGGACCCGGGGGCCGGACCAAGAGTAGATGAATGATGTGTATGTGTCATCCATAGTAAGTATAGTAATATTCCCCCATAGTAAGCATAGTAATTAATCCCCCATATAGTAATTCATCCCCCCTATAGTAATTCATCCCCCCTATAGTAATACATCCCCCATATAGTAATACATCCCCCATATTAAGTCCCCAAGTCCCCCCTGTGTCAATTCACTTACCTTTGCTCTGCGCGTTCCTCTCACCGTGAATCCCGCGCCGTTCCGGTGTAGCATGAAAATCTGTCTCCTATGAGGATCTGTCCCCCTCGACGTATCTGCGCATGTGCCAGTTTCAGGCATTAGCAGCCGATCGGCGATCTTCGGCACATGCGCAGATACGTCAAGGGGGACAGATCCTCATAGGAGACAGATTTTCATGCTACACAGGTCTTCAGGGCAGACTGTGAGAGGAGCCTAGCGGGAGCCTAGCTCCGCGGGCCGGATTAAAAGGTCCACCGGGCCGTATACGGCCCGCGGGCCGTAGTTTGCCCATTGCTGGTCTAAACTCACAACATACTTCCCTCACCCAAGAACCTTATACTTTTTTTCCCCACTTGCCTATGGTGCTCCACAATTTTAACTTTCCAACATCTACCATCTTTCTTTCCATTTGTCTGAAGTCCACCAGAACCAAAATTTATGGTAGATGCTGGAGAGAAACGGTTATGCGTGTTTCATACTTTAACAAAGTCGCTCACAGATAGCCATGGTGAACCCTGTTGAAGTACGGTACCTGTATAACAGTTTCTCTCCAGCATCTACCATAAATTTTGGTTCTGGTGGATTTCAGACAAATGGAAAGAAGGATGGTAGATGCTGGAAAGTTTACATTTTGGAGCACCATAGGCAAGTGGGGGAAAAAAAAGTGTAAGGTTCTTGGGTGAGGGAAGTATGTTGTGAGTTTAGACCAAGCTAAAGTCTTCGACAGGGTTGTCCATGGCTATCTGTGGGTGACTTTGTTAAAGTACGGAACCTGCATAACAGTTTCTCTCCAGCATCTACCATAAATTTTGGTTCTGGTGGATTTCATATAAATGGAAAGAAGGATGGTAGATGCTGGAAAGCAGGGGTGGACTGCCCATTAGGGTACTCAGGCACGGCCAGAGGTCCCAGGGTCATTAGGGGGCCACACAAGATGCCCCTAGTACCTTTCATAGACTTTTTGGGGTGTTATTTGAGTGTGGGTGAGAACAAAGGGGCCCAATGATCCCCTATTGCCCGGGGGGTCCCATGAGTTGTCAATCCGCCCCTGCTGGAAAGTTTAAATTTTGGAGCACCATAGGCAAGTGGGGAAAAAAAAAAGTGTATGGTTCTTAGGTGAGGGAAGTATGTTGTGAGTTTAGACCAAGCTAAAACCTTCGACAGGGTTAACCATGGCTATCTGTGGGCGACTTTGTTAAAGTACGGAACCTGCATAACAGTTTCTCTCCAGCATCTACCATAAATTTTGGTTCTGGTGGATTTCAGACAAATGGAAAGAAAGATGATAGATGCTGGAAAGTTTAAATTTTGGAGCACCATAGGCAAGTGGGGAAAAAAAAAGTGTAAGGTTCTCTAGGAGGGGGGAAGTATGTTGTGAGTTTAGACCAAGCCAAAGCCTTCGACAAGGTTGACCACGGCTATCTGTGGGCAACTTTGTTAAAGTACGGAACCTGCATAACAGTTTCTCTCGAGCATCTACCATAAATTTTGGTTCTGGTGGATTTCAGACAAATGGAAAGAAAGAAGTAAGATAAATAAACTTCAGAAGGGACTTGGATCACGAAAAGCCATGGCTGTGCTCGAGGTGTAGGAAACGGAGGTGATGAAATCACAGGTCTATCATTGCTGTTTTAATACATCATACTGGAAAATAAGGTCAATGAAGTCTATACATTTGGTGAAGAATGTTGGGTGATAGGTGGCCGTTACCCTGAAGCCTACCCTCTTGTACAGGTGCACAGAATCCTTCTGCAACACTGAGGTGTCTAGAACGATGGCCTGGTATCCAGACGTCTGTGCAAAGTCAATGACTGTCTGACACAAAGCCTTGCCGATGCCTTTGCCCCTGTGTTTCTTGGGAACTGACAGCCTTTTGAGCTCCAGTTGGTTTTGTCCACCAGGATGAGGAAACGGGGCAGCTGCCACTGTGCCCACAATTTCTCCTGCTGATTCTGCCACCCAAAAACAGCAACCATCCCGCTGAAGATAATTTTTCTTGATGTCCATCATATCAGTGGCCAGGCTTCTCCTGACATAGGAAAAGAAAAATGTTCAGGTTGATGAGCAGCAAGGCAAGAATGACAATGGTGGCCGCGATAAATGAGACTATAGAAGAGCCTGAGGTCACCAGGACAAGCAGGAACACAACGACAATGAGGATCCAAACTCGGGGAAGGCTAAAGGTGTGACGAAGGGCCACAGGGTAGTGTTCTGTAATCCCACGAGCAAAGATGTCTCTCACCGTATCATAATCTGAGTCTTTGTAGAGACGGATGCAGTAATCTGTCATGTTTTTACCACCCCCTTAAAAAAGATAAAAACATATAACATTTTAGTATATTAAAGTGGTTATACAGGTTTAAGGCCTTTTACCTTCATATATTCTATGCATGAAGGCAAAAAACCTTCTCTGTGCACCCCCCCAGCCCCCCTAATACTCACCTAAGCCCCCGCTCGTTCCAGCGATGTGCACTGGAGTCTCGGCCATCCCTGGGACTCCCTCTCCTCAATGGCTGAGACAGAAGTAGGAGCTATTGGCTCCCACTGCTTTCAAACGCAGCCAGTGAGCCAATAGGAAGAGAGAGGGGGCGGGGCTGAGCCTCAACTTCGAGTGTGAATGGATACATGGAGCTTACCTGTGGGGACACCCGACGGAAGGGAGGGTCCAGGAGCTGAACAATTACAAGACCAGTCTGTTTTAACACGTATACCGAAAAAATGATTTCAAGTGTTATTAAACCCCGGACCCCGCATTCACTATATCTGCTCTCCACGGACCCCGCATTCGCTACATCTGCTCTCCACGGACCCCGCATTCGCTACATCCGCTCTCCACGGACCCCGCATTCGCTACATCCGCTCTCCACGGACCCCGCATTCGCTACATCTGCTCTCCCCGGACCCCGCATTCGCTACATCCGCTCTCCCCGGACCCCGCATTCGCTACATCCGCTCTCCCCGGACCCCGCATTCGCTACATCCGCTCTCCCCGGACCCCGCATTCGCTACATCCGCTCTCCCCGGACCCCGCATTCGCTACATCCGCTCTCCCCCCGGACCCCGCATTCGCTACATCCGCTCTCCCCGGACCCCGCATTCGCTACATCCTATATCCGCTCTCCCCGGACCCCGCATTCGCTACATCCGCTCTCCCCGGACCCCGCATTCGCTACATCCGCTCTCCCCGGACCCCGCATTCGCTACATCCGCTCTCCCCGGACCCCGCATTCGCTACATCCGCTCTCCCCGGACCCCCGCATTCCCTATATCCGCTCTCCCCGGACCCCGCATTCATTATATCCGCTCTCCCCGGACCCCGCATTCATTATATCCGCTCTCCCCGGACCCCGCATACACTATATCCGCTCCCACATTCATTATATCCGCTCTCCCCGGACCCCGCATTCACTATATCCGCTCTCACATAGTATACAGAACATGGAAATGCAACTATTTTAGTAAATATAAACTTCTAAATACCTTTTCTCATCACTCCACATTAGGTGCTTTTTGACTGATAGACTAGGAACTGTGATAAAGGTTTTTATGGAGATAAATCACCAAGGGAACACATGCAGGTAAAATTAAAAAAAAAATTACAAAAAGGAAAAAAAAAAGGTTATGTTTCCCCCGGAGTTCAGCTTTGAAATAAATTAGATTTTTTTTCATGCTTGCAGTTCCATATTTTCAATATTCTTTTACTGCTGTCAATTTTGATATTGTAGTTTTCTGTGAAACGCCTTGTGTACTTTTTTTTCCCATATGTGGGATGTTGGTACAACATGCATGCCAAAACAGGGTTTTCTATATCCCTGTATAGGTCAGTATTAGTGATGAGCTGCAGGTTAGGAAAAAAAAAAAGTTCTGAACATTTTCTGGAATAATAAGCAGGGTGTTATCAAACAAATGGCATCGGAGGCTGGGCACTGCCTTGATGGAAAAAAAAAAAATCCTGGAGAGGAGTCTGATATAGATGTTAATGGTAGACCCACCACACAAAAAAAAAAAAAAAAAGAAGACTTGGGGTTCCCCATAACTCCTACCAGGCCTATTAGGTCTGATATGAATTTTAAGCGGGATGCCACTCAAAAAAGAGGTTTCCTCTAAAATCCATTCTAGTCTTTTAATCTGAGCATACATCCTGGACAGCCAGGAAAAGGAGGAGACTGGTGTGTGCCCCCCCCCCCCCCCTCCTAAACCATACTAGGTCACATGCAGGGGCGGACTGAGCATTTGGAAACTTGGGCCCTGCCCGAGGGCCCGGGGTCAGTAGGGGGCCCCATGGTGCCCCGGTACCTTTTTCATAGGCTTTTTTGAGTTTGGGCAAGGGACACAGGGGCCCCATGATCCCTATTGCCCGGGGGCCCAATGAGTTGTCAGTCCGCCCCTGGTCACATGCCCTCAATGTTGGACACTTATCTGGCAAAGCACTTTTTCCCCGTGTTGAGGACAAGGGCCTTTTTCCCCAGAGCCCTGGCCTGGTGGTTGTGGGGGACTGCAGGCAGGGGCTTTTCAAAATTTGGAAGCCCCTTTAACAATAAGGGGGCATCCAGATTTCCCCCCACATGAACAAGTAAGGTACTCATTTGATTCACAAAAAAATTTAAGGTGCAAATAAAAATAGCCTGTTTTGTAAGTTCTTTGCACTATTGTAATATAGTTATACTAGATACTAGGTTATCTAGATAGACTGTTTGTTTTATTCTTTTTTTAGACAGAGGATGAGTAGCAGCCTGGGAGGAGTCAGCCTGGAGTGAGGTAGAAAGTACATCTTGGGACAGGCTGGAAGGCTCTACAGGTCAGGGCTTCTGGAACTCTCCAACCCTTCCAGACTTTCTGAAAGAGGGGAGGAGGCCCAGATCTGCATGTTTGAGGAACCTTGGCAAGGAGCCTGGGCATGCTGGCCAGGGCAGCTCTCGAAATATCACAGAGCCTGGGGAATAGTGGTCCATGTCGGGTGGAAGATGGACTGAGAGGAAGGTGGAGTGAGGAGACTGGGAGGGGGCCTCAGGGAAGGTAGCCTACCTACAGGCAGGTTGCTGGAAAGCAGGATCCCCTCTGTCCCAACATCTCCTTGGGAGGACAACCTGTGTAGCAGGGAAGAGGACCAGCCCAGAATAAGGCCTGAAGGCAACCACCAACCCACCAAGAAAACAGGAAAGGACAGAGTAAGTACTCCCACATCCCCCATGGCCAGATAAGGGGAGAGGGCAGTCAGGTGCAATACCCAACTAGTCTTCATCTGGGACTGCTTAACTGCAAGCTCTTGAGACCCCCTTGCACAGGGATACCCTAGGTACAGCTGGTTAGAGAGGAGGATTCATACGGGGTCTGAAGAGGTACATCAAAAATGACTATAGCATTCCTTAACAGAGACTGTTGCTATATTTATTTGCACAAAGTTGCTAAGAAGTTTGTCCTCCAGTGTTACAGTTTCTTGGGCATCCCATATACCCCTAGACCCCATCCAAATTGTTAACCCCTTAATAAAAACAACTAAAAACCAGCTCAAAGATTGTTTACTGACTCTCAAGGTGCAAGTGTGGAAAATGTGAGCTGCCTGGCTGTGCAGAGCACAGGGGGACCCAAACAAAGCCAGTGGCCCTTTCGAGGGTAGTGCCACACTATAGAAGAAATTACCATGATGTCCATTCACACCAATCCCAATGCCTGATGCCAAAAGAAAAAAACAGATTAACCAGAAGGAAACATTTGCCGAATGACAGATCCCCAAGTCGTCATTGGTAGTATAAGAGAAGGGGTTGGCATTGTCCAAATATGGCCATGTGGGCATAGGTAGGCAATGATGTCACCCCCCCTCACCCTTTTGCTTACATGGCTGGGGATTCTTGCCCATGTAAGTGAATGGGCCAGGTGATGTCAGCGTTTTTTTCTCAGAGAATAGGTGCAGGAACCCCACCCTTCTGAGTCGCCCCTTTTCTCCGCCCCCCTGCCTACCTTCGAGCACCATCCTTTGGTTACACCGCCTACCCACCTACCAGTACCACCCCTTTTAGTATACTGCATACAGAACCAAGTGTCATTTTGTGGAACTTTCTAATAACATGAAAAGCAGTCAAATACTGACAGCAACAAAATCACCCCCAGCAACAATAGATCCTGGCTAGCAACAATATATCTTCTAGCAGACAGCAACAATAGACCCCTCCCTCAACAGTAGATCCATCCCAGCATCAAATTTGCCCTTCAGCAGCAATAGATCCATCCCTCATCAAGGGATCCCCCCACCCAACAATAGATCCCCCCAGCATCAATAGACCCTCCAGCACATCCCAGCACTTCATACATTCAGTGCTGTAGGTGCCGGAACTGCGTCCCCCCCGCATTCTGCTGAAAAAAATCCCTCGTAGTTGGTAAGGACACAGCAGGTGCAAGCACCTGCTACTGTGGCAGCACCCAAATATTGCAGAGTTCCCCTTTAAACTAACATTGCTAACAGCCTCTGTTCACAAGGTCATCAGCTCACTTCCCCCCTCCCTTATTTCCTGTGTAACAATGTGTTCCAGTCTGCACCTGACACCCTTATTTTCAGCTGAAGAGAATTTATCTATCTGTGAAACCACAAGGTCATATTCTGCACTGTTTAGAAAGTCTTCTGAATGTACCGAAAGTGAAAGAGGAAATATATGCATGGTGACGTAATTGCTGATATGTATACCCTGTGAGATGCTTTTCAAGGCACTTAGCTTGCAGACATGAGTCCTTGCTAGGTCACTCAGCGCTGATTAATACAAGGTTTGTTTTCCTCAAGTTCGTGTCCGGAGTTTTACATGGTATTTCCAAAGTTGCCATTATACTACTTCCTTAATAACCAACCATTGACCGACGGAAGCTTTTCACATTGATACACACTGAAGGCCATAAACGTTCGGTACAGCAAGCGTTTGGTCTGAACTTACAGTCATCAATAGATATTGCCAGCTATATATAATCCCTTGCAACTGGCTGTACACATATAATGGGCTGCCACATCATGCATACAGTCCATACAGCGGTGTGGTGCTGGGTGCACGTGCACTTGGTGCCCTTAGCAGAAAGAGAGCGCTGTCGCTGTCGCATGACTTCCAGTCATGTTTACGATCTGGAGCTGGAAACGGGCTCCCAATCACAGAGATCACATGATTGAAAAACCTGCCTCCACATCCTTGCATTAAAAACTGCATTATTAGGCCAGTGGCAAGCAGTTAAGGTGTGCACAGGGGTGAAGGGGGGGGTGGCCTATGACAATGGCTCAAGATTACTGCAGAGCAAGCTAGAGTGCAGACACATAGATTTCCTTTATACCTTCTACACAGTGGGTGTATTTTGGCTTTGTGCTGCAAGACTAAAATCAGGCACCCCCCATCTAAAGTTTGTCCCACCCCTTCCCGTTTAAGATCTACTCCTTCATCTGTAAACTTCACCCCTTCCTATTTAGGCTCCACTTCTTCCTATTAGAGCTCCACCCACTGACAACGATGGGGCGCTATTCCTCTCACTGACACCAACGTTGGGGCACTATTCCTCCCACTGACACCAATGATGGGGCACTATTCCTCCCACTGATACCAATGATGGGGCACTATTCCTCCCACCGACACCAACGTTGGGGCACTATTCCTCCCTGAAGGGAAATGTATGTCTTTTAGGTCTGTCATTTGTTGTTTTTCCCCACTCCATTTGTACTAACATGTTGATTAATTGTTTTGTATTTTAACCAGAATGAGTTAATGAAAATATGCTATGTCAGTTATGTATTACAGAACTATACTCACAACATTCTTCTATCTTTTATCTTAGCTTAGCCTTGGTAGAGACGGTGATAGTATTCAACTATTTCTTTGTATTAACAAGCACCTGTTTCTGTTATGATACAATTAAATGTCAAATATTTCTGTTCCATGAGAGAATAATTGTTTTGTTACTTATAACTAATTACAATGCCTGAGAAAGATCATGTTCACAGCCTTGAAAAGTATCTAGCCAGATTCTATTGTATGTAGCAGATAAGTTTTTATGTAATATTATAGACATTCCTTATTCTTGAAAAAGTTAACACTATATTGTACTATAAAAGAGAGCTTTCGTTGTGGAATAAATTAGAAGTTTTTGGTTACTTACAAGACGGTCTTATGTGTGATTACTTGTAACCAATGCTTCTCCAGGCCTGAGGAGACAGAATGAGTGACAGAGAACTTAGACCAGGGGTCTAAGGGTCAACAGAACCAACACTCCCCACTGACACCAATGATGGGGCACTATTCCTCCCACTGACACCAATGATGGGGCGCTATTCCTCTCACTGACACCAACGTTTGGGCACTATTCCTCCTACACTTACACTGATGATGAGGTACTATTTCCTCCCACTGACACCAACAATGGGGTACTATTACTTCCACACTGACACCAACGATGGTGCCCCATCATTAGTGTCAGTGTGG